CTACCCTTCTTTTACTTAGCACCTACGTTCACCAAGAACTTACCAAGGCCACCGGCCGAATGATCAGACCAGGCGCCAAGCCACCTGATCAAATCTACAAAACTAATACGACCTGTCCCAACATCATAGCAGGCGTCCGACGGCATCCCTCCGGATGAAATTCGTCGCAGAGAGCAGCTCCCTTTTGGGTGGAACATTGTTCTATAAACTAATTACACGGCACCTATACGACTGTCCCCAAGGGCAACCACGTAGCCGTTTTTGAGACAAGGATAACTCTATCACTAACCAAACCAGTGGTAGCAGTTGACATCTGAGTCAAATGACCGCCTGTATTACTTGGGATAAATGCAGGGGGTACCTATTGAGTTAATAGCCAACAAACATTGGCGAATCAAGGGGTCTAGCCGGCCTACGCCGCCTGGTACCTCTACTTCTCAAACAAAAGTGACGGCGACTGAGTAACTCCAACGTTAACTCATAGTCACTCCTTCAAACTTAGTATGGAGCCTAAAAGGTATGAGTCGTCCGCCTGTTTTTAACAAACAGGGACTCTCAACCACTACTCTTGCTAGGTTAACAAATTACGAGTTAAAAGCCAACATTGGCAATAAAGGGAAACAACCGGTACCCGCCGCTTGTTATCCTACTTAATTCCTTGGCGACTAGGTAATACTATTTACTTGGTCAGACCGATTGAATAAATAGTTCGAATACCGATTGAATAAATGGCCGACTGATCGTCTATCCTGGAAACAGACAACCAGTCGTCCAGGGGCATAGGCGGCGTACTTACTATTTGTACCTGTCTGCAACGTTCGGCCATGTACAACAGTCGGTCTAGTGAACAATGGGATATTAGATATGGAATACTTAGACAAATTTGAATCAAAACAAAAATTTGATTAAAAATAAGCCGGTCATTAAAGACCAGCAGAATATTCAAAGCCCCGGCCCCCTGGCCGGGTAAATACAAAGCAAACGGCACGCAGGCCGTGAAAAAAAAAAAAAAAACTTTAAGCTTAAGAAGGGGGCAGTTCAGTATTAGCAGCTGCCGCCTGGTCAGCACTCTTCTTGCTGGACTCGGCTTCAGCTGCACCCTCTTTTGATGCCTTGCCCCCAAGTGGCACAAGCGCCACAACCGGCTCTTCCTCCTCCTCCAACGTATCTCCCAACGCCTCTTCTTCAGCAGCCGCCAGGATCTCTTGATTATATGTTTCCGAACACTGGCGGTACGTTCTTTCCCATGAGGCAAAGTCGGCATTAGGGAACAGGCGGCCCCAGGTCATGCGCTGGATTTGAGCGGAGTCTTCCACCATCTCCCGGACGAGCTCTTTCTTCTCTTGCTTGGCCTTTTCCGAGAGCTCTTGGGTAAGACTCTTCTCTTGGCTCACCAGGCGTTCTTTTACGTTGGCCAAAGATTTCTCCATGGCTTCGTAAGAGTGCATTTTTTGGCGAAGAGGTTTCAGCTCGGCCTTAAGATTTGTGACAGTCGCCTCCAGCTCGTCATTCTCCTTCTGGGCCGCCTCTAACTGAGCCCGAACAGCGGCGGTAACCTGCGCCTGATAATAAAGAATATCAATGGTCAGTACTTCATTTTGGGCAATTTGAAACATTGCCTTATCACAGTTGGAGGCGGCCATAGCTTTTGCGGCCTTTACCTCTTTGTTTTTTCCGATCAATCGGCTTGCAAAGGCTGTTAACTCGGAGCAGGGCCTAAGTACAAAAAAAAAAACAGGCGTCAGTTTCCAAACAAAAAAGATAACAGGCGTCCTGGAACTCAAATACTCAAAAATATGCTAAGTATACCTCAGCAAGGACCCCTGCAATCCCATCAAGGTCAAGGGTGCCGGCACCCCTGACCGCCTCCCTTTCAGATGGAGGAACTGCTTTAATCATGGACTTGGCTACCTCAACCAAGTCAAGCCCCTGAGGGCCGGCTGCATCAAGCGTAAAAAAAAAAACAAGTTAGACCTAGTCAAGAAGGAAGCAAGTGTGAAAGTTTTTACAAGTGATTGTCCATACTTCTAGGCGGCCCCGCCGGGGTTTTAGAAGAAAAGGCCGGCTGCTTCTCAGCCGCCACTGTTTTCCTGGAAGACCCAGGAGAGCTTGCAACAGTCGTCCTCCGGGCCTTGGGGTCCGGCTGTTGCGAGGAAGAAGCTCTTGGAGTGCCAGACTGAAAACAAAAAGAGTTAGTATATGCATAAGACAACTCCTAAAAGAGGAAGAGTTTTCGAAGCCTACCAAGGGTGCCCCCTTGTTGGGGGAGTCGGCACAAGACTGTTGCATGAGAGAGGCCCGCAACATGGCCGCCGCAGTCTTGGATGCTGTTATTTTACTCATAGCGTCAGCTGCAAAAAAATAAACAGCAAAGTTAGTAAAGATCCCAAGTAAACAAGGCGTGAAAAAAAACAGAGTATTTGTCAGGCCGGCTACCTCTAGAGCACCGACTGCTGAGGCCACATGCGGCCAAAAAGTACTCGTCATAGAGCCACTTGAAGCTCGGGACGCAGTTTAGGGGTACTTGCTCTCGTACCCCTGAAGTAGAGTTCACCCTAGTCTCTACTTTGAAGAGTCCTTTGTCTAGGATCTCTCTTTTAGCCTTTGGGGGAACAGGCGGCATGCTGCGGCCGCCTGCGAGAAGAGGCGGATCCCTATTCCACTTGTTAAAACGTTGGTTCAGCTCCGTGTCTGAACCCTCAATGATAAGGAAGGTGTTCCGCCAATCCTTCCATTTGTTCGCCTTACCTCTCGTCATGAGGTAACCCCTATGGCTTGTTAATTGATACCAGCCGGTACCTCCCGACTTAGGGGTCCGGCTGAGATAGTTCATGTGGGCGAAAGCCTCAAAGCTTGGCTCCACCCCGTACATTTCGCACCCGGCCACATAGCCGAGTACGTTTACCCAAGAGTTGGGGGCTAACTGCCATAACCCCAAATCATACCCATCTAAAATCCGCTGAACAGCCGGATGTAATGGGAAGCGCAGTCCAGCTTTGATGGCCGCCACATAGCAGCCAAAGCAGCCGTCATCATAGCTGGTACCAGCCGGCCAGACGACAGTGTCTTCTGGATCCGGCACGAACAGTAAAAATTCCGGGCCCATTCTGTGGTTAGCAATAAAGCTCTCCACTTTGTCTTGCATGGTTGCGATCCGGCCCCGGGGTACCATGCAGTAGTAGGGGGCGTTTTCCTCTCTGTAAGAGGCGGACGGCTCCGCCCAATTGTCCCCCTTCTCAACTGCATGAGAAAGTCTCGCCTCTTGTAGGCGGCTATGTCTTTCTTCTGAGCCTGGAGAACTGTGGTCAGAAGAGCTGGACTCGGACTCGTCCTCTGACGAGTCCGAAGAGGACGACTCCTCCCCTCTCCCAGAGGGGCCCGCCTCCTCTCTCTTAGAAGGAGCAGGAGGAAAATTAGACATATCAACGGTAAGATGGGAAGGGACCACCTTGGCCCCTCTCTCAGAACTGTCGGCTTGGCAGCCGCCTCGTTTCAATTCTACATCTGGCGCCTGGTCAGATGTTTCACTAATGAGCACCCTTTGGGAGGAGCCGTCTGAGTTTGATATCATAGCAGTCTTTTTTGTTCTGGCCATCACGTTCTGCATAGACACAGATACAGTCGGACTTTGTATAAAGGGCAAAGATGGGTCCAGAAAAGGGCAGGCGGCACTCCTAGTCCTAGATTCAGCCGTCCCCGGTGACCGGCTGATCACTAACTTAGGTCGTGTCGTGTGCTTCCGTGGTGCCATTTCAAAAAATAAAAAGAAAATTAAGAGTAAGAGAACTGAGTTACCTGAACGAGTGACGGTTGATGAAGTTCTGGAAATCCGGTGCAGTCGGCTTGTCAGAACAGGCGGTAGGCAGAAAAGGTCCGAAATGTCAGAGCAAGTTCAGGGGTCCGAATGTTCTCGCAAAGTTCTCAAATGTGAAAATGACCGAAGTCAGCACTTCCTTATATAGGCAAAGTGAGAAGGCGAAGGGTCGCTTCCAAATTCAAAATTTGGGCGGGAAAATCTCTCGGCCATTTGCAAGGTGACACCTGTAGCAGGCCGTCGCCTGTCACCGTGCGACACCTGTCACAGGCGACACGTGACCAGTCACGTGCCACCTGTGAGGGGCAAATGATTAGGGGATTTTTATCCACCAATCACCGTCTGACAAGTGGACCAACCAGGTTCCGCCACGTGTCCTTCACGAAGGCCAATAGGAGCCTGCCACGTGTCAATCACAGATACGTCCTCTACGGACCAATCGAGGCACGCCACGTGTCCACCCATGCCAAATGGGAAAACCGGCCAACAAGGCCCAATCCTGTCTAGAGGCCCGGTCAGCCCTAGGTTTACCCTAAACCTAGAGAGTGGCACGCTTCTCAAGACTATAAATACTTAATTAATCCTCATTAAAAGGGATCAAGCAATTGAGAGGCAATTAATCTCACCTGAAGAACAGAGAAGAACAGAAACATTACGGAACACTAATAACCGGCTAATCTCGCTAACAAAGCAGATTACCAACATTAAACACTCTCACCTAGAGAGGTCTTATTACTTTAATTTCCGTATTAATTACTCCTTAATCAGGTACTAACTTGACCGTTGGAGGCGGAGCTCTCAGGAGTCTCCGTTATTTTGCAGGTACAGGCGTCCGGTTCCAGTCTCGGAATTGTAACTCTCCCGCAGGACATCAGAAAACCCCGAAACAAAACCCTTCAATTTCATCAAAAAAACCCTCTTCAAATTTTCAATTTCACCACTAATTTTCTACAGATTGCCAAATTACATTCATCTCTTCTATTTTTCATCAAAATCCCAAATGAACATTGGATTTCTGGGTTACTGCGGCCACTGATATTGTTAGTTGAGTAGCAGCGTGCCCATCTTTGGGTTTTCTTCGAAATCACAAAAATAAAGGAACGAAAGAGCAGCGAAAGAGCAGCTCCTCCACGGCTCCACCGCAAACTTAAAGGTTAGAATTTTGGCTCAATTGATGCATGTATGCTTTGTTAGGGTTTTATGTATTGATAATTTTTTTGTTTATGACTTTTCTCATTTAATTTACTTTAGACTTATTGGTTTGTTTGCGGAAATGAAATATTGAAACAAAAATTGGTTCTTTTTCAACATTTGTTGGTGAATCTGCTATTATAGAAATGAGGCAGTAAGTGTATTAAAATTAGTTTAGTTAATAAAAATTTGTTCTTGTTCGACATTTAACCAGTAAGTCAGTTAATGTTGGCAATCGAATCTGCTATTATTTTGTAAGTGTATTCAGATTTCTGCTGCTTGAAATTTCATATCAAGTGTTGGTTCATGGTTTTAGTTTCTGTGCTTTATGATGGTTTTAATTTATGTGCTTTATGATGTTTAATGTTCTGGATTTTTGTTTTTAGGTTTTATTGTGATGAAGAGAGAGATAATTTTTTGTTTGAATTTCCCTTTAAATTCTTCATTATTTTAGATTGTATGACATCTTTAATGTTGGTTGGGATTTCAAATTGTGTTTTTTTTTTTTTGTTTTTTTGTTTTTATTAAAAATGCACTATGGAATCATGCATGTACACATAATCGTGAGTTTTGTTGCTAATTGGTTCTTGAGTTATGTTTTTTGTCAATTTAATTATTAGAAGATGAGGGGAAAGGTGTAGGAAGAGGGGCAGGGGCAGGATGGGATTAATAATTTTAGTTGTTGTTGTGTAGAAAATATTAAATGGATCGAAGTTGGATAACAACAACTAAGCCAGGTGACCCAAAATATCAAGCAGGTGTAAGAGAATTTGTTAAGTTTGCAGTTAAGAATAGTGGAGGCCGCCATAAGCTACCATGCCCTTATCACATGTGCCATAATTTCTTGTATAAGAGACCCGAAGAGATACTTAATCACTTGGAGAAATGGGAATTTGATAAAACATATACATGTTGGATTTGGCATGAAGAATGTAGAGATGGAGCTTCGGTGAGTAACTTTTCAGATAATGCTAATGAAGGTCAACATACAAATGAGGGAGATAGATTAGAGGAAATGCTCCATGTAGTACAGGAGAATTTTGATGAAGATCCCAATAAATTTGAGAGCTTATTAAGTGACTCTGAAAAGCCTTTGTATGAAAGTTGCACTAAATACACAAGGTTGTGTGCCATACTTAAGTTGTATAACTTGAAGGAGGGTCATGGTTTAAGTGATCAAAGCTTTAATATGATCCTAGAATTGGTAAAAGACATGCTTCCAGATGATAATGTCCTTCCAAGTTGTACATATGAGGCAAAAAAGACACTAAGTGTCATGGGTTTACCTTATGAGAGAATTCATGCTTGCCCTAACGATTGCATGTTGTATTAAAACGAGAATGAATCGTTAGAAAGATGCACAATTTGTAATGCCTCGCGATACAAAAAGATTGAAGGATGAGTGCCTGCGAAGGTATTATGGTACTTTCCAATAATACCTAGGTTTAAAAGGCTATTTTCTAATGACGGAGATGCTGAATAGTTAACATGGCATGTCTATGATCGAGAGGATGATGGAATGCTTAGACATCCTGCTGATTCCCAACAATGGAGGTTTATTGATGGAGAATTTCCAGAATTTTCCAAAGAAAAGCGTAATTTACGCCTTGCTTTGTCTACAGATGGCTTCAATTCATTTGGATCATTGAGTAGCACATATAGTACATGGCATGTTATTTTGATTACCTACAACTTACCTCCTACACTTTGCATGAAAAGAAGGTATATGATGTTATCACTGCTAATTTCTTGTCCAAGGCAGCCTGGTAATGATATTGATGTGTATCTGGCTCCACTAATTGATGATTTAAAGTTGTTGTGGGAAACAGGTGTAGAGGTGTTCGATGCACATCGTAACGAGAATTTCAATTTGAAAGCATTGTTGTTTTGTACTATTCAAGATTTTCCAGCATATGGTAATCTATCAGGATACACAGTTTACGGGAAAACTGCTTGTCCTGTAGGGTTTTCCAGGAAGGTGGTTGAGTGCATTTAAGAAGAATGTTTTTTATGGGAATCGTATATTTTTTGCCATGTACTCATCACTATCGCAACTTGAAAAAGGCCTTCAATGGACATCAAGAGTTTAGGGTGCGCCCTAAGATACTATCTGGAGTAGAGGTGTTTGAAAAGATCAAAGATCTCAAGATCACATATGGTAAGAAGCATAAAAAACCTCTTCCTCAGCAAGGATTCAAAAAGTGTTCAATAATGTGGAGTTTACCATAGTGGAAATTCCTTTTTGTGAGACATACGCTTGATGTGATGCATATTGAGAAAAATGTGTGTAATAGTGTTATTGGTACACTATTGAATATTAGTAGAAAGACCAAAGATGGGGAGAAAGATAGAGATGACTTAAAGGAAATGGGGAGATGACTTAAAGGAAATGGTTGAGAATGGTCGAAAGTACTTGCCACCGGCTGCTTATACACTCTCTAGAAAAGAGAAAATCGAGTTATATCAGAGCTTGGCCGGAGTGAAAGTGCCGGAAGGTTATTCTTCTAACATTTGCAACCTGGTAAACATGGAAAGTTTGAAACTTATGGGCCTTAAGTCTCATGATTGTCATGTTTTGATGCAAAATTTGTTGCCCGTATCTATTCGTTCAATATTGCCTAAAAATGTTCGATATGCCATTACTAGACTTTGTTTGTTTTTTAATGCAGTCTATATAGTAAAGTCATTGATCCCGAACATTTGAGTGCTTTGGAGGAAGAAATTGTTATAATTTTATGTCAATTAGAGATGTACTTTCCTCCATCTTTTTTTGATATCATGGTTCATTTGACGGTTCACTTTGTAAGAGAGATAAGATTTTGTGGTCCAATATATTTGAGAGTTCAATGGGCTTTTGAAAGGCAAATGAGAAAATATCAAGGGTATGTGAAGAATGCTTATCAACCTGAAGGTTGTATTGCTGAGCAACTTTTCTATGACGAAGTACTACAATATGCTGGTGATTTTATGATAAATTCAATGAGAATAAGGATTCCTACATCCCGTCATAGTGGACGAATGGATGGTGTGGGAACCTTAGGTCGTAAGCAACGTGATATGTCTTGTGACAACTGGCACAAGGCACACTCATACATTCTGCATAATGAGGATGAAGTTGCACCCTATGTTGAAAGACATATGAGACACTTGAGAAAGTACAATCAAAGAGCATGCGAAAAGGCATTAGCTGACAATCATAGCAAATCATTCATTTCTTGGTTCAAAGATGAAGCAATGAGGGAACTCGATGACTCTTCAATAGTAATCTCAGATTGAGTCAAGAGTTTAGCATATGGACCTGACTTTAGTGCAACATACTATTCAGGATATGTTATAAATAGTTGCACTTTTTACACAAAGTTCCAAGATGAACACAACATTATGCAAAACAGTAGGGTCACTTTAGAGGCTCAAGCTATTCACTTTTCTAGTGCAAAAGATAAGAATCCCGTGTGTGGTACTATGAGATACTATGTAGTCATTGAAGAGATTTGTGAGTTGCATTACACCATGTTTTCGATTCCTCTTTTCAAATGCCAATGGGTTGACAACATTAACGGTGTTGAAGAAAGTAACATGGGACTTATTTTGGTCAATCTTAACAAGGTTGGTCACAAAGAGGATCCTTTTATTTTATCTACCCAAGCAAAATAAATTTTTTATATGACTGACCCCTTAGATAAGCGAGGGTCAGTTATCATAACACCAAGGCCTCGACACTCCACTGATGATTGTACTTTTTATAGTGTGTCGGAGTCTCCTTCTTTGACAAGAAAAGTAGTGGACGATAATGTTGATGACTCTTCAATATATGTGAGAGATGATCATAATGAGGCTACATGGGTTGAAGATACAAAGAAGCGAAAAAATGTCAAGCGAAAGCGATCTCGTAACAAATGTAATTTTTTTTTTTTTTATAAAGTACTAACTTTTTTTTATTATTATTGGTTTTTCCTTAGGATGTCCTACTTAAAATTTTGGTTTTGTTATTACAATTATTTTTGCATTTAACTAACCAATTAAATTTATTTTTCTGATTTTTTTATAAGTTGATGGCTAGAAAGAGAAAACGTGTACGCCCATCCAATGAAGGTGACACACTACATCCGAAGGATTCTGAGAAAATAAGGCGTAAGGATGAGAGGGGTCGTACTGTACTTGCTATGGTGGGGAAGGCGATCCAAGCAGGCACCAAGATTCGTTTAGAATGGCATCCTATTAAAAGAATTCCAGTAGGAGAGCACAAGTCTCATTTCTCCACCTACATTGGTGTTGTTGCCCGTGAAAGAGTAACGATTACTTATAAGGAGTGGTCTGACCTTCCAAATGGAGTCTTAGACGAATTCTACAATGATATCACAGTAAGCAAACATATTCAGTTCTAAGACATTTGAATAAGTCATACAATATGCTTTTATGTAGGAAGGTTTAATGTTTATGTACCAACAATGCAGAAGGGATTTTATGTCATCAAGAATCGCAGAAATTGGATACTGACACAAGCTTCTAAGCGATGGAAAGCTTTCAAGACTAGGCTAAGACTTGAATGGATGTATCTAAAAGATGGAGCTGTCAGACAACAACCCCCATGGAAATACCTTTAATAAAAGATACAGATTGGAAGATCTTCGTTAAATATTGTACTTCAAAGGAGTTTCAGGTAGCTGTTATATTTATAAAATAATTTGAATTTGTTGGACTCAATCCCCTGCCTTGCAAACACCCCTTTTCCCTACCATTTCCTAAAGTCAGTCCTGAATTTAGTGATTCAGTTCATAAATCAGTTCTGGAGTTCAGTTCTGAAGTTCAGTTCTAAGTTCAGTTCTGAAGCTCGATTCTGAATTCTGTTCTGAGGCTTAGCTTTGAATTCAGTTCTGAACCTCAGTTTTGAATTCAGTTCTGGAGTTCAGTTCTGAAGCTCAGTTGTGAGTTCAGTTTTGAGTTCAGTTCTGAAGCTCGGTTTTGAATTCAGCTCTGAGGATTAGTTATGAATTCAGTTCTGAAATTCAGTTCTAAACCTCAGTTCTGAATTCAGTTCTGGAGTTCATTTCTGAAGCTCATTTCTGAGTTCAGTTGTGAAGCTCAGTTCTGAATTTAGTTCTGAGGCTTAGTTCTTAATTCAGTTCTGAACCTCAGTTCTGGAGTTCAATTCTAAAGCTCAGTTTTGAGTTCAGTTTTGAGTTTAGTTCTAAAGCTCAGTTCTGAATTCAGTTCTGATGCTTAGTTCTGAATTCAGTTCTAAACTTGAATTCAAAACCTCAGTTTTGAATTAAGTTCTAGAGTTCAGTTCTGAAGCTCAGTTCTGAGTTCAGTTCTGAGTTCAGTTCTAAAGCTCAGTTCTGAATTCAGTATTGAGGCTTAGTTCTGAATTCAGTTCTGAGGCTTAGTTCTGAGTTCACTTTTGGAGTTCAGTTCTGAAGCTCAGTTCTGAGTTCAGTTCTAAATCTCTATTCTGAGTTCAGTTCTGAAGCTCAGTTCTGAATTCAGTTTTGAGGCTTAGTTCTGAATTCAGTTCTGAGGCTTAGTTCTGAATTCAGTTTTGAAATTCAGTTCTTGAGTTCAGTTCTGAAGCTCAGTTCTGGAGTTCAGTTCTGGAGCTCAGTTCTAAAGCTCAGTTCTTAATTCAGTTCTGAGGCTTTGTTCTGAATTCAATTCTGAACCTTAGTTCTGAATTCAGTTCTGGAGTTCAGTTCTGAAGCTCAATTTTGAGTTCAGTTCTGAAGCTTAGTTCTGAATTCAGTTCTGAGGCTTAGTTCTGAACCTCAGTTCTGAATTCAGTTCTGGAGTTTAGTTCTGAAGTTCCGTTCTGAGTTCAGTTTTGAGTTTAGTCCTGGAGTTCAGTTCTGAAGCTTCGTGCTGAGTTCAGTTCTATTTTGATGCTTGATAAGTTTATTAGTTTTGATGCTTTATAAGTTTATTAGTTTTGATGCTTTATAAGTTTATGATAAGCTTCCTCTAGCAAGATGGTGTGTACTGAATTTAATCTTAAATTTTTTTTGTAGGAATTGAGTGAAAAAAATCGTGTGAGGGCAAAGAAGAAGACCTTAAAGTATCGAGGAGGCCAACTTTGGTATCAATATTTTGAAGAATGAATAGTAAGTTTGACAAATATTCTATATGTAACTACCATATATATATAATATTGGTGTTGAAAATTTCTATTCATATACTTCAAACATAAGTCTAAATTAATTTTGTACAATGGCAGGAAAAAGAACTTGAAAAACAGGGAGTCCATGTGTCACAAGTGCCTCGACACTTGACTTGGATCAAAGCTCACTCTCAGGTCAAAGATGGAATCATTTTTTTTGATAATCTAGTGGATAGGGATATCCATGAAGCTATAGTAAGAAATCTAATGAAGATCTTCTGCACAAATTTTATTTCATTAAATTATTGTGAATGATTGCCTTCATTTGAATTTATTTCACTTGGTTTCATCTATTACGTCCCTTGAAATTTTAAATTGCATATTGCAGTGGAGGCTCAAGCTCAAAGAGGAGAATTCGTGTGCAATGGTCGGGATGACATATTAGCAAGAGCATTGAATACGCGTGAGCTTGGTGGTTCAGTGAGGGCAGTTGGATCAGGTATCACAAATAAGGAATATTTTTGCTTTAACAAACCAACTGCACCAAGCCAATTGTATGCAAAAATCGGCATGATGCAATCAGAGATGGGAACTATGAAAAATAATCAGAATTTATTATTGTCTTTCATCATGTCATGCTTAAATCAGGAGCAATTGAAATCGTTCATGGCCATCTTTGGTCAATCAAATGCTTTTGGTCAATTTGGCAGTTTGGGTGGACTGGTTGGCCTATTTGGCAAAGGTGGTAGTCAGCCTGCTACTGGTGGTCAGTCTAGTTCTGGTGGTCAGTCTTGTCATGATCAACAGGTTGGTTCTTCTGGTCAGACTAGTTTTGGTGGTCAGAGTGGTTTTGGTTTTGGTGGTCAAGCTGAATTCGGTGGTTTTGATGGTCTTGATGGTAATAGGTTAGGTTTTACCCAATTAAATAATTTTGTTGACCATGGAATGCTTAACATTCCACTTACACAACAGCTAACTAGAGGGGTTGAGCGACAACAAAGTGAAGGTCATCAATTGTTGGAGTCTCAATTTCAGGATGCTGCTAATGTTTCACGTGGTCATGAGGCTCACATAAGTCCTCCCGTGCAACACGATCATCTTCAAAGCTCTGAGGCTGAGATGTACCATGTTTCTTGGCCTCCAACAGAGCAAATTAATCAACCTGACCATGCACTTTTGAATATTCATGATGATATCTCAATTTATCTTGGCCTCAAATAAAGCAATATCACTTTTCCTGAGGTATTGTATTAAAAGTCATACATCTTCGAATGTAAATTATGTATATGAAATTTAATTATGTCATGACTTGTATAGGGCTGGAGTGATTGTCAACTGGCCATTGAGGACGGCGATAAAGGACATGTAATTGGTTCTAAAGGGAAAGTTTATCAAGAGAAGGCAGAAGAAATCATCAAAAATCATGTCTGATCGCTACCCCCTGGTCACCGCCAAGTCTCTATTGTAGAAGATTTTGTGCCGAATGCTCCCTTGCCATGTCCAAATGAAGAATTAATCTTTGTTTGCCAAGCTAAGAAGAGTTACACTTCTTAGCCAGTTCACTTGATTCTTCCAGTTAAGGTATTGTTATATCAGTTTTTTTTACCAACTAAATTTAGTTCAGAATTGATTTTAAGTTAAGAGTTTCATTTACTTGATATATATTGTTTGTTTGTATGAAAGGATGATGTGCACCTGGAAAAAGACGTGACTACTCCATCCCCAAGATCGGCATCATCCCAAACATCAACCACTGGCATGCATCTTTTCGGAGCTGAAGATTGTGAAAAAGTGACTACTAATTGGTTACAGTCGTTAAAAACTCATGCTTTGGGAATGAAAAAGAGTAGTGAATCCATCTCCTTAAGTTTCTAGAAAACTGTATTTCTGACTGAACATGTGGTTAATGTTATTCTTGACTACAAAGATTTGCTTAATTGGTGTTTCCCAAAAGAGATCGGAGCGGCTCACTTGAATATTTTCATGAAGTAAGTTCATTTACATTTTTAAGATTTGAGAATTTCTATTTTTAGTATCTTCTTACATGTTTGACCTTTTACGGATGGCGGGGAAAGGTACTTAAAAGAGCAATGTCAAGAAGAAGGAATTTCGGGTATGTTTGGATTTTGCGATTCCAATGTTCTATCCCCAATGAATCCAACAATAGAAGAGGAAAACCCGTCTACATACTTAGCTCGTGTGTTTGGGTGCAATGAGGGAAAGGATCGTAATCAATTATTCTTTGCACCTTATAATGAAAAGTACGTGTAATATGTGTTTTCTTCACAATAGCTGATAATTATTGATATGTTATTTTATTAACTTTTCGTGTAATTTGTATATAGTCGGAATTGGATGTTAGTTGTGATTAGCCCTTGGAATGGGATATCTATTGGTTGGACCCAGGTGGAGCAGACAGCATACCTGAGTTTGCTAAAATAGTCATCAAAGAGTAAGCAGTACAGTAATCATTTATTGACTTCATTATATTTGTATTGATGTTCAAGTAATTGGTATTTTTGTCATTATTATCATTTTATCTTGTCATAATTATGTAGGGGAATCAAACAATTTAGCGCTGTCCATCGCAAGGATATCAAGAAAATAAAAAAGGATGCATATATTGGGTGGAAGCAACCAAAGGTATTCACTTTATATTTTTAAACTTAACATACGATAATCGGTTGTAGGTCTTTCACATAATAAAGTAACTCATGGATGATCTGTTGTAGTGTCCTAGCCATCCTAAACACAAGAAGAACTATGGATACTTTTTGTGCCGGTACATGCTCGAGATTTTAGAAAAAAGGGTGTTATGGATTACTGACAAGGTTAGAACTTATGCACTTCAGATACTTTGTTGTTTCAACTGGATATTTCTGACCAAAATTTCCTCACTTTAACACATATATTTCTGCCTAATTGGTTATTGTGAGAGGATTTGTTGCTTGAATATACTTATGCACTTGGCAGGGCAGCAGCCGCCTAGCCTTGGCAGGGCAGCAGCAACCGCCTAGCCTTGGCAGGGCAGCAGCAGCCGCCTTGCCTTGGCAGGGCAGCAGCAGCCGCCTTGCCATGGCAGGGCAGCAGCATGTCACGGGTCACTCCCACACCAAGGATGGGCGTCAAGAGGGTCACTAGGCAGCAAGGCAACAATCGGGGCTAGGGGGCTTGCCTTGGTGCTCAGGTAAGCACTTCCCCCTAAAGAGCTTTATATTGCACCTTGCTTAAAATCCTAGTGAATACCCACTTGACAGTAACACAATAATGGGTCGTTTGGAGACCCAAATGAAGTCCAAATGGGCCCAAATTTGGGGGTCCACCGTATTTTGGGCCAAGGAAGACGATGGTGGTGTCAGTTTTCCGAGACAAGGTCCCGAAATACAAGTTTGTGCAGCAGGTAGCCCGGGAAACGTGGGAAGCTTCTAGAAGGTTCCGGAGCTATCTACGGAGTTCTTTTGGAGGAGTATTCTAGAGAGGATGTCTCTAGAATATTCAAGGTTCATCCAGTGCATCTTAGAAGTCTCTAGGGCCTTCTATGTATGTACATTTTGAATGTAAAGTTCTAGAATGTTCTAGGTTAGTCCTTAGCATTCTAGGTAGGAAGCTTGTAGAAACCTCCATGTATGTAGTTCCTAAGGAGGTGGGAAAACTCTAGATCCTTGTAGTCTAGAACCCTCCATTTGAGGAGGTTAGGAACATTCTAGAGAAAGAGAGTAAGTAGGGTGGAGCACTATAAATAGGCTCCAAGGCATCATTTGTACATTCAAGTTGAGAGCAATACAAAAAGCCTTTCTTAAGCACTTGTGTTCTCTTGCAACTCAATCCTTTCCTTCCAACACTTAGAGAGTGTGAGGAAAACTAAGGCACGAGGGTGCCAAGTGAGTGATCGGGCATACGAGCAAGGGTGATAGCTTGGGTGCTCAATTGTCTACGACACTTAGTCGTAAATTCGGACTAAGGCACTAAGGGTGAGTGCTTAGTTCAACCAAAGGGGACTTGTTAGCGCAAAGGGATCGTGCTAGCAAACTTATACTAGCAGCACAAGGAGTTGTGCTACGTGGGCACAAGGAGTAAGTGCCAAGGAGAAAGCCTGACTCGTCTTACGACGGACTGTAAGCGGGTGGCGCACGGTGCGTGACTAGGGCAAAGTAGTCGGCACGTGACAAGCAGCCGCCTTGCCTTGGCAGGGCAGCAGCAGCATCACGAAATGTGATATTATACTAATGTGATATTGACAAGAAATGTGATATTGTACTAATGCAATCGCATCACGAAAGTGTGTGTTATGCTTTGGAAATGTTCATTGTCACCCAATACTAAACCCCAAGTGGTAATGAAAATTTACAAAGAAAAAAGATTATTTGGAGTGAAATTATGTTGTAATTGTATTGACGTTAATATATGCTCATTATCACTATTTACTACCACTTACGGAATGGGAATTGTGTCATGATATAGATCATTTGAGTTGTTTTAGTTTTTGGGGAAGTGTGGGGACTGTGGAACTAAGTTAAAATTCTATCAATGTAGAAAAATATGTTGGAAAAGTGTTATCCTCGTAGAATTTTGCATAGTTTATTGCCATATTGGGTAATTTATTTCCTTCATTCAAACAGGACGTTGAGTAAAAAATTGTGATTAATTTAGAATGTGAGGCAGGGCAACCTTGCCTTGCCTTGGCAGGGTAGGGCAGCAGCCTTGGCAGGGCAGCTGCACCCTTGCCTTGGCAGGGCGGCAGCCTTGCCTTGCCATGCCTTGGCAGGGCGGCAGCCTTGCCTTGCCATGCCTTGGCAGGGCAGTAGCTACAGCCTTGCCTTGGCAGGCAGGGCACCTGCTGCCTTGCCCGGCAGCGCACCAGCTGCACCAACACCCCCTACGCACACTCCCCTACCCTGCACACCCCCTGCCCTGAAAACACCGCCTGTCCTGACTTGCCCTTGCCTGAAATCAGTCCTGAAATACAGATCTAAATTCAGTTCAAAATTTAGTTTTGAAATTCAGTTCTGAATTTAGTTCTGAAATTAAGTTCTGAAAATAAGTTCTGAAATTCAATTTTGGTTTCGTTTTGAAATTCAGTTTTGATCTTTGGTTCACATATTCAATTTAGTTCTGAAATTCAGTTTTGAGCTTTGGATCTGAAATTCAGTTTTGAGCTTTGGTTCACTACTTCCATGAACCTATTTAATTCTTTTTTCTGCTATTTACATTGCAGTTCTTTACTCAAGAAGCTTATTCATCGGAAGAAATTGATGAGATACTAGATATTTGGGTTGAATATTTGCTTAAGCAACTAAACTAAGTTGATGAAGAAGTCAAAGATAGTATGGTAATTGCTTGCGTTTTGGTTCAAATTTTTATTCAACACATACACTTTGGAACATATGTGTGCCATGGTTGATGTTTAATGCCGTGGTTTTTTTTTTTTTTGTAATGGTGTACATGGTAGAATGCTGATGTTTTTGGAAACAATGGTTGATGTATAGTGCTTTTTTTTTTTTTTTTTTTTTTTTTTTTTGGTGTACATGGTAGAATGGGAGAAAATTAAGAGTTAGTCTTTTTTTGTAATGGTGTAATTGTGGGTGGCACAACATTATATGGGTGAATTTTTTGTAATGGGATTGATTGAATTATATATGAAGTAGGTCTAAAAATTTATTTGTCAACAAATTTTATTGAATTACATATTATGCAGGTTAGTTTTAAAAGAAAATTAATAGGTAATTATTGAAGAAATTGCTGGAAAAAAAAAGCCATTTAAAAATTTTATTGATTTAAAAAAAAAGAAAAAAAAACAAGTATGCTAACAGACCTGTTAGGTGAAGAAGGGATCTTACAGGTTGATGAATTAAATAAAAAAATATATCAAAGAGACCCCATATCTTTGATATAGGGTCTGAAGTTAATTTTCAAAAGGACCTTAATTCTCTTTTAACGGGTCACTTTAATATAGCAAACATACCCTATTTATTTTACAACGGGTCTCTTATCTTTAATATTTTATTCTAAAACAAGTAATCTAACAAACCTGGTATTTTGCATAACGGGTCTGTTAACTTTTAAAAACAGACCCCATCCATAGAGGCGGTCTGTTTATCTGACAGACCGCTTAGATAGAGACCCGTTGATGGGCGGTTTGTAAAGGATATTTCAACGGGTCTCTTCGCTTATTTTTGTAGTAGTGCCCCTCCTCAAGATGCTCCACACTCTTTTTCATCACCTCCAATTGACTTTTCAAATAATTAAGAATCGACTCCTTTTAGTCCCAAGATCATAACTAAGCTCAATATGCCTAATTTGAGTTTCCAAAGTAGCAATAAGAGATTCAAAAGGTGTCGAAGATTGAGGCTCGACAAGAAAAGAAGAAGTACAACCAAGATTGGAAGAATTAACATTGAAATCATGAGCATATACATCACATTGGGGAGTGGGGGCACAATCAAACATATGAGATTTGTCAACTTGAGCATGCACCTCATTATCATGAACAACAGAGGAAATAGAATTGGAAGCATTTGTTCTAGGTTCACTAATTGGATCATGTGATGCATCATGGGAGATCATGCTAGTATTAGGAGAATTAACACATTACACATCAAAATTAGAAATACGATTACCCCTAATATAAACATCACTAGAAAACCAAACATAGAAATCCCAAGCACTATCCATTGACAATGCTCTAAATCTACCATTATGCATGCATTCAACTTCATTCCTAATTTGTTCATTCAACCAAAATAACAAATCTCACAAGCCTCTCAAAGAGTACAACAATGATAGTCTAGAAATCCCACTAGTATATATAAATATTATTGTAGTTGCTACTTTTATGGGTAGTAACTCTTTACTTTTGGTAATAAAATTCTTTATTTACCAAAAAAAAAAAAAAAAAAAAAAAAAAAAAATTAACAAAAAGGCTCATTATTATATCGAGGAAAAGATAGACATGCCATTTTTTTTTTTCACAAAACAAACAAAAATCAAATAAAAGAAAAGTATATACAAAGACCTAGACTCAAGCAATCAAAAACACTCAAACATAGACATTGTTCCCTGGCAACGGCGCCATTGTGATCGCGGGTGGAGACTAGGTCGTTGAAAACTAATCTTCCCTCGGTCAAACAAAATTTGTAATCTCTCAACACACCCTTATACCTAGAATAGGAGTAAGTCGAGGGTCAAACCACTAGGAATGGGAGATGAATGCTAATGCTAAAGCTAAGCTATCTCGAAAAAATGAATTAAGGTGTGCAAATTCCAAAGCAATCAAACAATCAAGAAGAAATCAAATAATATCAAGCACTAGGGTTTAGGATCCACATATACTCGGAATGGATACAACTAATTGGGGTTGGAGATGACTAAGTCGAATGTTGCGAGGGAAAATCAATTAAGCAATCAAAGAGAATGGTAGGCTTATCTCCTAGAGGCCAAGCTAGCGTCAACTACGAGAGACTCTAACTAGGAACCTTGCAAACATACTTAATTGACAAAAGCAAGTCACAAATCAATTTTCCGTAACAATATGAACTTACAATGCATTCTAGTGTAACAATCAAAGTTAGCTACACTTCAATTAATCACACACATGCACTTAATCAATCAACCAATTTAATCACTACATCAGCTCCATCAATTTCCCCCAATTAGCATCAATCCATTACTCATATATGCTTCACCATTACCCTAGCAAGAGAACTACTCACAATCCATGGAAATCAAGATCAAAACTAAGCAAACAACAATTTCATCAGCATCATATCAATAAATTAATTCAATCACAAATTTTATTCAAACTTGAACAATCAACAAAACAATTGAAATCATAAGCTAAAGATTGCTTTAAAGTAAAAGAAATCCTTACAAACTTGCTTCAATTCAATGGAGAAAATGCTAGAATCATCAATCTTCAATCATCAATCAAGAACTTCTCTCTCTATAATCTAGAGTTTCTCTCTCTACAAAATGATCTAAAATTCCTCTTCTAATTCTAAAAATTGAACTCTCTAATCTTCTTCCTCTTTTTCCTTACTTGAATCACAATCACTCTTCTTCTCATCCTCCTCACTATTCCTAGAAAATCTCTCTTCAAGCAGTTTCCACTGCTTGTGGTGATAGAATAAACGAGTTTCTTAGGATCAACTCCTTAAGAGGGTAGTGAAGAAGGGCTAACACAATCTTTTAAAGTGTTAGCTAGTTGAGTGATTTGGGTTTCAAGCATCTTGTTGTGTGTCATCATCTCATTGAACTTCTTATCACTCACCGACATGTAGGTGTTCAAAATCTTGGTTTGGTTCTCAATGATCTCCCCTAAGGTAGTCTTGGAATATGGGGGTTGAGCATAATAATTATCATCATTGCCTTGAGGTCTTGGAGCAAATCCGGGTGGGGTCCCCTTTTGTTTGTTGTTTTGAATATTTCCCCTATTTTGATTGTTCCAATTACCTCGGCCTTGATTGTTACCAAAATTTGTGTGTTGGCCACCAAAGCCATGAGATTAGCCTTGATTTCCATACCCTTGGCTTTGGTTTTGACTACTATAACCTTGGTTGTTGTAGTTACCTTGGAAACCTTGATTTCCTTGGTTCTTATAACCACTATTGTTGTAGTTATCAAAACTACCTTGTTGGTGAGAATTCCTATTCCCAAAATTCCTTGGACCATTAAATCTTTGTCCATTATTGTTATTGGAAACAAAATTCACTTGCTCACAATCATTGTTTTCAACATCATCACAATTTTCAAAAGCATTTGGACAATTAGAAGAATCATGGTCATAAGACCCACAAAAATCACAAAAGACACAACCACTTGGCATATTACTCAAGGTAGAAGGAGGAGTAGAGTTAGAAGGTGTACCTCTGATCTCTCTTTTATATGGGAGGGAAGACTTGGTGCAATCGAAGAGGCACTCTCTAGCTTGGCTTTAATCAATGTCATCTCCTTTCCCAAGTTTGAGATTTGGGAAGACAATTTATTGATTGCGTTAAGATGATCAACCGAATAAACCATTGAGCCACTCTTGCTTATGGACTCTCTCTCTCCCTCTTGTCAATCCATGCATGTAGTGACGAACTACATCCTTAATTATATCTACAACCTCTTCTTCAATCTTGTTCATAACCGGGCCTCCGGCTCCGGCGTCAAGACACGACTTCCCTTGGGGGCTCAATCATCCATAGAAAATTTGTATGATTTGATAATTTGGAATTCCATGATGAGGACATTCACGTTGATACTCCTTATATCTTTCCCAAGCCTCATACAAACTCTCACTAGGCTTTTGCTTGAAACTTTAGATTAGATTTCGTGCTTCGACGGTCAGAGGATAGAAACGGGAAAGAAACCCCTTATTAACCTCATCTCAAGTTCTCAAGGAATTAGGTTTCACTTCCATGTCCAACCATTCCAAATCCCTTCCGATTAGAGACAACGGAAATATCTTGAGCCTTATCAATTCTTGAGAAACTCCATTGACCTTGATGGTATTGCAATACTTCTCGAACTCTTTGAGATGGTTTAGTGGGTTGTCATGCTTGGAACCTCTAAATTGCTTTGTTCAATCATTGTTATCATTGACGGCCTTATCTCAAAGTCATTGGCGGGAGTTGTTGGTGGAGCTATGCCACTCTCAAATCAATAAGCGCCGAGAGTTCCCAACTCCTTCAAAGCAACTCTTGGATTAGCTCCCATGCTTACTCGATCCCCTCTTCTCTTTCTTGGTGAATTTTCTCTTTTGGAGAGCTTGGACTCAAAGAACGATTAGCAACCCTTATCCTTGTTATTGTTCTCTCGATTTCCGGATCAAATGGCACTAAAGTCCTTCCTCTGATCATACGCATACAAAAAACTCAAAGCAAATATCAATAGCACGGCCACAAATGTAGCCTAAAGAGAAAAATCTTTTTGTATCGTGAAATAGACTCAACAACAATAGAAAACAACTACGCCATTCCCCGGCAACGACGCTATTTTGACGAGGGGTGGAACTAGGTCGTTGAAACTAATCCTCCCTTGGTCAAACTAAATTTATAAACACTTAACAAACCTTTATATAAGTATAGAGGCAAGTCAAGGGTCAAACCCAAAGGAACAGTAATGTTCAAGCGCTCTCAATTATGCGCCTAAGCTAGGTCGAAGTCTAACGATAAAAGGTAAACACTAACCAATTAACAAAATGAAGAACCAAACAAATAAAACACTAGGAATGAGGACCAACATGTAATCATGACAATTGTAGCAACTCGGGAATAAATGCAAGTCAATGGTTGTGAAGACTAATGGCAAGGTCAATCAAAAGAGTCAACAAGCTATCTCCTAGAGGTCAAACTAGCGCCAACTATGAGAAACTTTAACTAGGAGCATCATTAATCAAGCTCAATCGACAAATGTAAGCTACAAATCAATGGTCCGTATCAATGTAGACTTACAATACAATCTAGCATAATTCTCAAGGCCTAATCGAATTACACACATGCAAACTTCCATTAATCGATTTAATCTCAACAATTAATCTACATAATTCCCAAATTAAGTATAATCAATCAACCATACAGGTTTCGCCCAATCCCTAGACAAACAACTACTCAAACATCATCATCTAATCAACTAACAACTAAAGAAATTAAGAATCAACAATATATGAAGAACAACTACACTAATCAAGCATCAAACATTAAAATCAACCAAACAAACATGAATATTAAACAAAGCAATAAAATGAGATAGAGTTAAGAATGCTCATTGATAATAAAGAAGATCTTCAACACAATTGTCACCATTGAATCTTCAATCTCTCAATCACCATTGAAATTCCTCACTTTCTCTCTTTTAAAATCTACTCCTAAACTAACCCTAAAACTAGAGAGAGAAGTTCTCAACTAAGATAAAATTATGATCAAAATCTAAAAGAAAAAATGGAAATTTATAAACCAACCTTTACACTTTTTCCTCCAAAAAATCCAACCTTTATTTTATTCCTCAAAAATCCAACCTTTATACCCTCCCTTCATCTAAAGGTCCATTACCTGTTGATGACCGGTTTTTTTAAGATAGATGCCACATGTCAGCTATTAATAGGTCAATTATTTATTTTATTATTAAAAAATTAAAATAGTTAAAAAAAAAAAAAAAAAAAAAAAAATTTCCAGCCACCATCCTCACCACCATTCCTCACCACCTCCATAAAATCCGGCCACCATTCCTCACCACCTCCCTTCCCGACCATCCTCCCCTTACCCTCCCTTTCCAACCACCCTGTTTTTCCAGCCACAACCCAACTCGCACCACCACCCAACTCCATTTTCACCCTCCATTTTAGCAGCCTCGCAAACTGCAACCATTGACTCCAAATCGCCCGGCCACCAACTCCAAACCGCTAAAGTTCATTGCTCAGCCCAAACAACTGCACGCACAGCCCACAATACCATACAACCACCATCACCACCACCCTAAACCTTCAGCCGCAACATCAACATGAAAACAATTCAACATCATAATTATAAAATAACCAATTGAAATCCAGCCCAATCATTCAATAATAACACAAAATAAGCCAAATTGAACAAAACCCACAAATTTAACAATCAAATCGATAAAAAAATGACCTTTTTTTAGAGATTTAGGGGAAGGCAGTGAAAGACAGAAAAGAGAGACCATGACGAATATTGGGTTCAAGAATTTCATTGATAACTGCGGGTGGTAGGGTTGAGGGGCTGGTTGTCGGCATAGAGGGGCTGGGGGTGGTGGTTCTTGGTGAGGGGATTTTTTAAAAACAATCGTGTCATGGTGTTGGTGAGAGTGTTATTGGTGGCGTACTGGTGGGTAATTTGGTTGATTTCCATTTTTGAGGAAAGAGGAGTGAGAAAAGAAATTGAGAGAATTAAAAAAAAAATCTTTTTAACCTGTTTAACAGGTCAAAGGTAAAATGGATCTGTTGGAGAAGGACGGGTATAAAGATTGGATTTTTGAGGAATAAAATGAATGTTGGATTTTTGGGAGGAAAAAGTGCAAAGATTGGATTTTTAATTTCCATTTTTCCAATCTAAAATGAAACTTTCTGCAAAAATTGGGTTCAAAAGGGTATTTATAAGAGGCGCGAAACGAAGAAGAGAGAAGCTAGAACCCGCAGAGGAGCGCCCGCGCAGCAACAGTGCGCGACCGTGCTCTTCTGGGTTTCTTCGGATCTTCTCGTGGCTTTGTGCGTTCGCTAAGGTCTTCGAATGAACGCACAACATGATGATGATGAACACTAAGAGAGGAAGTCCCAAAAGCACTTGATTGTGGGTTCAACACTTCATCTTCATGAGAGCACAGCTTGAGAGCGCAAGAGCTAAAACTTGGAGAATTCACTTCCTTGCATCTTGAGCTTTCCAATTGCCATGAGCTTGCTACAAAAGCATCTCCCACCTTAGTAATTCACCAATATCAAGAGCCGAACCTTGTACAATATCTACATCCACGAAAATAGAGCAAATAAAGGAGAAAAGTGTAGAAAAACCAACAAAATACATAAAAGCTATAAAATAAGAGACGAAGGTAAAACCAAGACCAAATGCATAAAACTAAGCATTTATTAAGCATGAAAGCCATGAAAAGAAGGTGAAAACAACCTAAATGATCATCAAATGGTGCCATTTATGACACCCATCAGCAGTTCTACCGTTCACACATTGGCTTAAGCGAAGAATTACGGGTAAATTACGGACTCCAGGGAGTGCTAAAAGGATGTATGGTGAAAGAATAGAATAGGCTAGTGTTTAGGCTAGAGCATAAGAGAGAGAGAGAGAGAGAGAGAGAGAGAGAGAGAGAGAGAGAGAAAGAATGACTTTTTGTGCCTTAAAACTAAGGAATTTAGCCTCACATTTATAGAGGAAATTAACAAAATGATGCATCAAATCCTAGAAATAAAATGCGCCATTGAGAAACCTTAGAATAACGCAATGTCAAGGCATGTCTACCGCGACACAGCACGGTTATTCGTGACATGGCAGGTTTTACCGATGCGCTGCATATCTACTGCCACACGACAAAGTCGTTTTTCTTGAAAATCGTCCAAATTCATTTTATTCTTTGTTTAATAACTAAGAATGTGATTAGGCGCCGTTTTAGCTCTTCCAGAATAATTTGAGGCTTAGGATTTTTATTATTTTTTTAATCGGGCTTAATAAATATATAACACGAAATGAATTCAAAATGGTTTGCCAAAAATGTAAGTTGGACTGTTTTTGAATCAATATTAGGACTGATATGTTGATTGAATATGGGTTTTAAGCACTCCCGAGATTAAATAATTTACTCGAACAATAATGACGTTGAAAGGTTGTTCATCATCGATTTTAGATTTGGAGAGACATCTTTAGGTTTCTACAGTTGCTTCACGACAGGATTTGCCGTGACATGGTGCAATTTACCGTGGGACGGTAGAGATTGTCGTTGCGCAGCATTTCTGCCGTGACACGACGAACCTGTTTGTTGTTTCCTTGAAATCCATCCAATTCATTATACCTTTTGTTTAAAAATTAAGTACGTGGTATTTAGGCGCCGTTTCAAAGTTCCAGACCTATTTAAGGTTTTATTATTTATTAATCGGGCTTAATTAATTAATTAAAAAGGTTTGGGCTAAAATGATGGTTGGATTATGCTTTGATTAAAAATTAGGACTAATTTGTTGGCTAATTTGTAAGTCGTGTTTGATTGAATGTGGATTTTAAGCACATCTGATATTAAATATTCAATCCGACCAATAATGACGGTGAAAGGTTATTTGTCATCAGGTTTGATTTTATGGAAACATTTTTAGGTGCCTACAACTACACATAATAATCACTTTTTGTTCATGTAGTAGAGGCACCTTATGGGATTATGACTTTTTGATTGATTGATTAAGGTGTTTTGCATAGTATTTTCTTTCTGTTGCTGATCCAACTCCGTGACTAGTTCTGGTTCTTTTGGATAAGAGAAAGAATGATATTCTAAGAAAATTCTAACTGAAATTGTAAAACGAAAAGAAAATTCAAATACAAATTTGACAATTATATTATTCGAAACACTATAATCCACACAGTGCTGCAGCAAATATGCATTCAAGGAACAATCTTAATTCCGTCTGTTTTGGAGTCATTATTTGGCTCTTGGGAAATGATACTAATGATGTATTCAAGTTCCTCTGTAACTTCTCTCGTAGAAGGTCGATTTTTCCGTTGTTCATCCACACATGCTACAGCAAGAAGACCGAATGCTTTCATAGTTTCTAGTTCTAGATTATTGGCCTGCTTTGTAAGTCCTGCATCAACGGCATCAAACAGTTTCTCTTTGTCTGCCAAATTAGTTACATAAACAGCAAGGTTCACATCATCTTCCCTATTAAAATCTATAGCCTTCTTGGAAGTAAGGAGCTCTAATAGAACAACCCCAAAGCTGTAAACATCACTTCTATCAGTTAATTGGTAATTCTGATAGTATTCTGGATCAAGGTAACCAAGTGTTCCTTGAGCACATGTAGATATATGGGTTGCCTCAGTGTCGACCAGCCTTGAGAGGCCGAAATCTGAAACTTTGGCATCAAGTTTTTCGTCTAGTAATATGTTACTTGATTTGATGTCCCGGTGGAAAATGGGTGGCACAGCAGAGAAATGGAGGTATGCAAGACCATCAGCTGTTTGCTTAGCAATGAAGAGTCTCCTTTGCCAAGTTAGGGTCCCCCATTCGTTGGAGTAGCGCCCATGTAGGTGCTCAAAGAGTGTTCCGTTAGGAACATACTCATACACCAATACTGGCATGTCTAGATCAAGACAGCAGCCAAGCAATCTGACAAGACTCCGATGATTTACTTGGCAAAGTATGCAGACTTCATTTAGGACTTGGTCCATTCCTAGAGTCTTTCCTGGCTTTGCTTTTTTAATAGCAGCTAGTGTTCCATCGTCTAAATTACCCTTATAGACTTCCCCAAATCCACCTACACCAAGAAGATTTTCCTTGGAAAAGTTGTTTGTCGATCTCCTCATCTCTTTACCAGAGAATAATTTAGCAGCTTTCCCATGGTTGTGGGCATTTAATACTTCTTCACGTTGCCTGACCAGTCTACGATGAGCTTCTCTTTTGATGTGCTTCTTATGCTGCTGAACTAGTACAAAAAATATTATGATGATAGCGATTCCACATGCTGCAAATATCAAACCTGAAGCAATAACATTCCGCACATAATCTTAAATATGAATTCACTGCAGAATTTATAGTTGGAGAAGTAGGGAGAGGAGAGGTGGTGGTTGTAGGAGCATAATTATGTACCGTGATAAATTTTCTTTCGGTTTATGTGATGAGGACAACCTCTTTTCTTACACTTCCTGACTGAAATAGCAATGTGACCTGGTGTTATGCATATCATTTAAGCAATAGAGATAGCGTAACAGAGAAGCTAGTAGTAAATCACCAGTTCATGAAGAAGTTTCGAAGGTGCTCCGGAAAAAGGGTACTATTGTTGAAACTATTAGCCAATGACTGTTCATTAGGAATGTTTCCTCTTTATCTTATGAAAATCATTATGACTGTTTCCTGTTTATGTTATGACAAAATCATTCTAGATTACTGGTTGTTCAGTAATGTTTCGTATTAATTTGCAAAATACTACGGAGTAATGCTTTATTCAATGGTTTTTGTTTGAAGAGCCAACACCATCAAATAAGCAATTCTTGGGGGATTAAATCCCATTTACAGAATGTATTGCAGTGAACATAAGTTGTTTTCATAAATATGTAGCTAAAATAATATATGAATGAAAAATGATGCAGCAAAATTACTCCTTTTCATTCCAAAGTTCAGGTCTAATCTTCTTTTAACTGAGAAAAAAAATGAAAGACTGTATTGTAACCTTTTTTTTTTTTTTTTTTTTTTTTTTTGCAGAAATTTAACACTTACCTTCACAAGTTCCATTAATCAAATTCCATCGAAGTCCTTCATTGCAGAAACACCTCTTCTTTGATCCTGCAACAACACGATTAGGCAAACACGTTGAATTTTCCAATCCATGGCAATCTAAAGACGATGTGCAGAGAGGTTCAACAGGTTCATCCCATTGTATCTGGACCCCAGATTCTGGCCACTTTTTTACAGGTAAAGTGGGAACCAATCTAACAAAGCTCTCATATGATGTACAACCAGTCAAACCAGTGTCTGAAATGTCAAGTCTGTAGGCTGTTTTGGAACCCCCAGTTGTGTATGAGCAACAAGGTAAACCTTTGCACCTTGTATTCTTGTAAGCATTGCACAGACTTCCTGATGTGCAATCCATTGACGATAATTTCACAGTTGAATTCGTGCAGTTCATCATCAGGACAGTATTACTGTTACTAATACTAAAGGGCAGGCTCTGGTTAAGCCAGATTCCCCCAGATTTTAAGTCCAGTCTTGCACACCTATTTTGGTAGTACTCCTGTGGACGTATGGTTAGTCGTTGGGTCTTTGGGGAAATGGATGTGATAAGATACGATGATCCATTGAGAGTATCAAGCCATAGCTTTCCCGTGGTGCACCGTACTTTATATAATTGGTCACCACAACTTTGTGAAATGCTAAGAGGATAAGGTACCGTAATTTTCCCACAATTCGGACAAGAGTTTTTGGCTTCCACTTCTCGAGTAACAGAAATATCCGAAAAAAGAAATACTGTAACTACCAGCTGCAAAAATAACAGCTGTCTATAATTCTTCTCTGCATCCATCATCTGTGTTACAGTATCAACGGAGTGCTGAAAAATATTGTACTGCTTCTTCCGAGGTCGTCATTTCAGATGTAAAACATGTTACAGTATGTTTTAATTTTTTTGGTGGAGATGGAGAAGGTTATTCAAATTCTATGATTATTCTGTGTTCAGGCATTTGTCAAAGGTGCTCGTTTGACTGATGGAGTTCAGACAAACAGATCTTGTTTTTCCAATTTGAACTTTACATATCTAAGGTAACAGGATCCGAAATTAAATTTTTATTAGTGTGATTAAATAAATAGTACATAGGAACTAGGAATCCAGAATCCTATTGATAATAGATTAGCTGTATCTTCCTAGGTATTAGTATTGATATATCCTTGGTATTATGATACGGATTAGATATAATTAAAATTTATTCTACAAAGGAAACAGGGTTATCACCGATGCTTGTTGATCAAATCCATGTCTTGATTTTTGTTGTATTTTCATCTTCTCATTGAAATCAAAATTAATGCATAATATATTGTCCGAGGATTTGTTCTTGCCTTGGTACTAGCACATATTCTCACAGCTTCAATGTGTTTCTCTCGTTTTAAGAAAAGTGGTGACCCCAAGAATCTACTGTTCATCTTCTTTTTTACTAAGTAAAGTTTTGGATCACGAGACACGTTGGAAGCTCCATGTCCTATGGGTGCAGGGGTGAGAACCAGCATTACTCCTGTAACCCAGGACTAAAATGCTTTGTTATAACTCTACATCAGAGAACATAATTTTTGACAGTTCAAAAAAAATTTGCACGCCATTAAAAGAGAGCTTTTGTCCGCTTATGCTAAAAAGATTTTGATTGTTAGATTAAACTGCAACACGTAAACAAGTGTATAACAGATGACGGGATAAATTAAACGCGTTCAGTCCCTTTGTCTAGAGCTAATGATCAAAGAACCTTCTATAATCTTGAGTAAGATGTTATACTGAAATTAAATATGTTTTTGACAAAAAATAATAATTCAATTATTTCAAGAACCTTAATTTAATTATGGATTTTATTATACATGGCCCTAATAAGGGCTATATATAAGAATCAACAATTTCATATCATTAATTCTATTTTTCTTGTTCTGAAATCTTATAGTATTATTAATCCAGAATTAATCCACCCAAAAAATATACTCCTTCCGTCCCCTTTTGGTAGTATCTTATGGGTATTTTTCAAGGGAATTAATAAACACATAAAAGAATAGTTAAAGTACATTGAAAAAGTAAATTGACATTGGATATGTAAAAAAAGTAAAGAAATAAAGTAATAAAACTAAATGGGAAAATAAAATTTACATGGAAAAGTTAAATTTGCACAAATATTGTTCCAAATTGGTGGGAATTTTGGTAAATATTTAATACTCCATCCTTTTCATAATGTTAGTCCCATATGGAATCAATCACATAAAATAAGAAGACAAATAAATTTGGAATCTAACATTAAAGTACAACATAATTCATAATTAGGTTACCTTATTTAACTTTTTTTTATTTTTGTATTGGGAAAACACAAGACATAATTGTATAATTCAAGGTAAAAATTTCCTTACTTAGAGTTATATCATCAATCCATAATCAATTAATTCCAAAAACAATCGAGTTATAAATGAAATATATTCAATATGAGTACATCTTTTTGAAACGCCCAGAATAGTATATGAGACTAACATTATGAAACGGAGAGAGTAGTAATAATTGTTGAAAAATGCAAATGGAACATTTTGGGACTAACATTTGTCCATACGGGACTTTCCAAAGAGAACGGAGGGAGTAATTAATACATTTCTTCACTACAAAATTAATTACAATGAAAATGCATTTATAAACACATTAAAGCTATTTTTGCTTTTTTTTTCCGGGATAAGAGCTATTGTTTTATTAAATTATTTAAGCACTAACAATCCAACATCATACCAAAGTAGAAAATTGTACTCCCTCCGTCCCTGAAAGCACGACTCATTTGGTCTAATTTTAGTCCCAAAAAGAATGATTCATTAGCATTAAAATACCCACTAATTTGCAACAATATTTGTGCAAAATTAGCTTCTCCGTATAAAATTTTGTTTTTCCATATACTTTTATTACTATTTCTCTCTACTTTTTTGTAAACCCCATGTAAATTTATCTTTCCAATACTCTTTTACTTCTTTTTATTTAACTTTATTAATACCCGCGAAATCAACCCAAAAGGGTCGTTCTTTCGGAGACGGAGGAAGTATATACTCTATAAAAAAAAGAAAATTATAATAGTATTAAAATCCAAAATAAATACCGTGCAAATTGATCTTTGACTTACATTCTTCCAAAAAAGAAAAAATAGCAACCAAACCATAAGGACTCCAACCAAACCATCTATTAAACCTACCCTCATATGAAAAGTTTTAATTCCAAGTGGACAATACTGCAATAATATATTAGTGTGCTGCTAAGATAATTTTCTTTTTTAAAAAAAAATTGTCTATACATCGTGTTCGCCTGATCCTGTTTATTAGAAATTAAACTTAGTTTATCATTATTTTTAAGCTTTTAATTTCTATTTTGTGTACTCTCATCCGAACAAAACTACTATTTCTATCATTTCCAATCATCATTGGTTCAAAAATTTTCATTCATATAGCTCAGATAAAGGTATTTTACTAGAAGATGATGATATTGGTTTTTATTTTTATTTTGGAAAAAAGCATTTTCATGGTAATTAATTGTGTAAGTAAGAAAGGTACTAATTACATTTTTTGGGGATTAATTCAGGATTAAATAATACTATAAGATTCCATTGGAACAAGATATGAAATTGTTGATTCATATGCATAGCCCATTACCCCTTAGGGCTATGTATAACAAAATTCTTTAATTAGGGAGACAATACATTTACCCTCAGTGTACAAAAATATCTTACACACTCTTCTCTTATTGGTTAGATAGGTATCTTTGATTAGTGGGCCCTTTAAATTTTTCATTCAAAAAATAAATTTGATTTCTGGAAATTTCAAATTTAAATTTCAAATATAATTGAACTTTCCAACTAACCGTTTAATGTTTGCAATTCCCAAAAAAAGAGAGATATCATCTCTTTGTTTCTGTTTCTAAACCATTTCATCTTCTACTGAGTTAATGGTCACGTTTGGATTTTGTTCAGCGTTTAGTGATTCAATTTTAACTTTTTTTCACCGCTTGGGTAAGTGTGGGAGTGTGAATTGCGACAGTTTGGTGGTGCGTATGTGGGCGATTTTAATTAGTGATGAGGTGGGAAGTGTGGTGATTGTGACGGTTTGGTGGTACGTAGTTGGGCGGGTTTTTGATGGTGTTGCCGTGGGTGATGTTGTTGCTAATTAGTGATGAGGTGTGGCCTTGTGGGTATTGGCAGCTAGGGGTGTTCAAATCCGGGTACCCGGATTTTCGGGTACCCGGAGTTTCGGGTAGTTGGTAATTTGTCCCATGTCCCGACCCGAATATCTCGGGTATCCGGGTTCCGGGTACCCGAATTATTCGGGTCGGGACATCGGGTACCTGAATTTCTTTTAATTCACAACAAAACCTTTAAAATCCCAGAAATTAAAAAAGACAAAACAACAAGATTAAAGAAGAAAAAATGCTTAAAATAGGGATTTAAAGCCTGTAAGCTGTAAAATTGAAGAAGTTATGAAGTTTCATGTAATATGCAATTATGAATTGACACTATACTTTGACAACCAAATTCAAAACATATAAGATTCCAGAATAGTTAAACATTTCCCATCAATAATCAACACTAAAAGTCCAACCTTTCTCTTCCCTTACTGCAAAAATCCGAACAATATCAACCTCCATTCTTGACAGGAGAAGACAAGAAATGATATGAGAAGTTGAGAACATCAATAAATTAGAGCGCAATACACTACGGATTTAGTCCAATTACCACGATAATACTATCAATTAGATTACATAAATTCAAAATAACCCTAAATAAACTCGCGTGAGAACATAAATTACATGAGATTGAAGGCTTGAGTCGCTTGAACTCGTGAAGGGCTCGAACTCGCTCGAACTCGTGAAGGACAAGAAATTCGTGAAGCTTGACCACTGATTAGAGAAGGAACTCAAGGAAGAAGCTAAGAAGTAGGAAGGCACGAAGAGAGAGAGAATCAAAAAAAAAAAAAAAAAAAAAAAAAAAAAAAACAAAAAAAACTCAAGGAGGAAGAAGGAAGGCAGGATGTAGGAAATAGGAAGAAGCGGCGTTTTTGAATTTCAGAGAGAAGAAGTAGAGAACCCTAATTGAGTATTTGAGTAACTGGGCTATGTGGGAGTGTGGAGTGGGCTGAAGTGCTGAACGACTGACTGGGCTCATTTGAGGTAGATTTTCTGTTTTTTTTTTTTTAACCGGGTAATCGGGTACCCGAAATAAACAAAACGCGGCCCATGTCCCGATCCGGATAACAGGCACTTTCCCCCGGGGTACCCGACCCGAAAAAACAATTTTTTTCCCAAATTTCACATCGGGTATTTTCCGGATCATCTCGGGACGGGACAATCGGGTCGGGTTTTTTTAAACACCCCTATTGGCAGCAATTAGAATCCCCTTAATTGTAGTATGATTAATGGTTTGAATAAATAAAAGTGTCATAAAGTCTCACTCACTGCTGATGTTTGGGTATGGGTAACAAAGAATAATCATTCTTGATTAGGGGATTTTTCCCCACCAATCACCATCTGACAAGTGGACCAATCAGGTTCCGCCATGTGTCCGTCACATGGGCCAATAGGAGCCTGCCACGTGTCAAGCAATGATCCGTCCACCATGGACCAATTACGACACGACACGTGTCCTTCCCATGACACCTGGGATAACCGGTCACCTAGGCCCAACTCCCGAGGGAAGCCCAATCAGCCCAAGGTTAACCTAAACCTAGGATTGGCACGCTTCTCAAAGACTATAAATACTTAATTAATCCTCATTAAAGGGGATGAAGCAATTAGACACTCTCACCTAGAGAGAACCAATCACTTTAATTTCCGCATTAATTACTCCTTAATCAGGTACTAACTTGACCGTTGGAGGCGGAGCTCCCACCACTAGGAGTCTCCGTTGTTTTGCAGGTACAGGCGTCCGGTTCCAGTCTCGGAATTGTAACTCTCCCGCAGGACATCAGAAAACCCCGAAACATCTGGCGCCGTCTGTGGGGAGAGTACTTCTGAGATGGCATCCACGTCTGTACCGACTCCTGAAGAGAGGCGTCCCCTAGACGACCCTCAAATTCAGTCGGACCACGATACTGAGAATGAATTTGAAGTTGAAGCTCACACAGCTTCAGACGGGACCCTAAGGACCCGGCGTACCCGTCATACCGAAAGGAGGGAACGGGAACATCTTCATACAGGAAGCGAGCCAGCA